AGGGGAGAGTGGTGAGACCCCGGAGTGGGGGCAGGGGAGAGTGGTGACCCTAGAGCGAGAACAACCCCAGAGCGAGTCTGGGCCAAGTGCATTTCCAGTGTGTGGCTGATCCCATAGTCGGCACAGAATGAGGATTACTCTGGGATCTGACCCTGCAGCCTGTTGGAGGGGTTTGATGTGACAACATTTTGGATAGCGTTAGATTCTACTGTGTGTTCAAACTCCCCGCTGGCCTTACCTGTCCCTCGAACCACCGCCGCTGCTGCAGCTGCTGCCATCGGGCCATATGCAGTCAGGGGGATTGCTGAGAGAGAGAGAGACACACACAGAGATCAATACAAATCCCCAGGATCCACCAAAAAAACCGTCTCAGGAGCATTGACCAGCAGTTAGGTATCACAGATACCACCCTCCATCAGCCCACTTCAGCAGAGGCCTGAGGTCTTCCAGCTGCTCGAAACAATCTGACCCTGGCACCACACAAAGAAAGCCAGACAAGACAAGACAACAATCTGACCCTGGCACCACACAAAGAAAGCCAGACAAAACAAACTCCCCTATGACCATCTGTTTACCATGTCCCTGCTCCAGCTCCAGTTTCAGATGTATTATAAACACAGTTTGTGCCTCGACACCCACAAACTGTCTTCACACAGACATTATTCTGCGTTTACAGTAAATTGATACTTTCTGGTGAGTCACTTGGACATGTAATTGAACTATCCAGACGTGGGGAAACCACAGGTTTGTTGCCCAGTCTACGAAGAGCTAGATGGTCTTAATCTGAATAGGGGAACGAGATTACATTCAAAACAACTGGTTTCGATATGTCAGGGTTAAATTTAGAATCAGAGCCACAGTCCCTGCACCCTGCCCCACCTCCCCAAATACACAGTGATCCCAGCAGTACTGACCAGTCAACACTGGCACCCTGTGGTGACTCTCACATGTTTAAATGATGTGCCAACACTCCCTGGCAAGAGTTCAGATGCCTCATGCCCATTGTGAAACTACTCTTATACTCAGTAGTCAGAAGAGGGAAAGAGGAGATAATGTTAGAATATTCAAGCCTACAATTGTTGCAATCTGTATGCAGATCCTAGACTGGCAAATACCTCCACAACTAGCCTCAATGGTGAGTTCTCCCTCACTAAACCAGTTTGAGCTGTTACAGAAGGTGATCACCTGGCAATGAGTCACAGTCTAGCTCATTGAGTGTCAGCTTTAGGGTTGTCAGATCTCAGTTACCCTGCTGGGACCGAGAACCCGTGAGCTGGGTGTACAGCACAGTCCCTGCGACTTCAAAACAGAAAATCAGGCAGCGAGGTTAAACACAAACTCATTCGAAAGGCAGGGGATTTGAAACTGCAGCAGCTGGGATTTGTGAACAACACTGCCACCTAGTGAACACACATTCACATTAATGCCAGCCCACCGAAATAAGTCATGTCTTCGTCCCTCCGCAATTTTAGTAAAATTGTAGAGTCGGGGGTGGGTGGAAACAGAGGGTCTCAGCCAGTTTTTCCCAGTGATTCTCCCAAAAACCAATCGCAAACACTCCTTAGCCAATCAGCACAGCTTCAATTACAATCCAGCAATTGGCTCAATAATTTTAGGGCCTGAATTCTCCCGTGTGCCAGCCCCCCACCCCACATGCCAGGCCTTGTTACCACATAGTCTGCCATTACACACCCCCTGTTGTTAGTCACTAACAGTCCCCATTAACAACTATTCACCCTCCCAGCCTGATCTTTAGCAACTCCTTTGTCTGTCCAACTGTCTTTCTCTCTCTTTGGGCTCTATCTTATTGTTTACTCCTTACCCCACCCACCTCCCCATTTTCTGCATAGAAACTGACGTTTTCCCAGCCACCATCAGTTCTGAGGAAGGGTCACCGGACCCGAAACGTTAACTCTGTTTTCTCCTTCACAGATGCTGCCAGACCTGCTGAGCTTTTCCAGCAACTTTTGTTTTTATTTCCACTTTGGCAGTGCCCTCAGGGTCAAGGATGACTTGCTTCCTTGGGGTGATTCTGCAGTGGCCAAGTCATCCAATCCTGCAGAAGCAGACTCTGCCACAGGAGGGGCCGGTGGTGTGTACGAGGGAGGGAGGGTGGGAGGGACACTTTGGATTCTGCTCTACATGCTGCACTCAGTGACCCTCAAAGTGGTTGGTGCCTTTGTGGAAGCTTCTTCTCCAGTGCGTGCATTTCAGGGGCAAATGATTCCCACGTGTCAGCAGGAATGTTGCATTTGTTAAGTGATGTTTTCGAGCCGTCCCTATAGCGTTTTCTCTGTCCATCTAGTGATCAATTCTCATTGCGGAGGTCGGAGTAGAGCAGTTGCCTTGCGTTGGGTGCATGGACAATGTGGCCCGCCCACATGTGTGACCAGTGCCTTGATACTGAGGATATTAGCATGGGACAGAAAACACACACCATGCTGTTGGCTGTACTGTCAGTGGGTGTGCAGGATTTTGGTAAAAGGTAATAAAGAGATAGTATATTGTAGAGTATGAGAAAGTATCAAAAATGTAAAATATTTCATTACATTTGTTCCCACTTAAATAACAGTGCAGCTGTTTGTAAAGTGAAGGGACACATATGCTGAGCATGAATGACCCAACGCCACTCTCTCCCTAAACAAAAAGGTGCTGCTTCTCTCTGGAGAAAGAAGAAGTGAGCCTGTGGCACGTGTGGTGGTTGTTGTGGGGGGAGCGTATTCACTTTGACAACAGGGAGGTAACTAGGCTCTTCTGGTTGGTTTTAACATTGTTGGTACAAACTATACCACACCCAGGTCATGACCCTTCCAGCACTTCTGTCACACCTGGATTTTTAAGAAAGTATAAACACACAAAATACTCTTCTTCACTAATTAAATTATACACGTGTGGCGGTCAGAGCAAATGGAGGCTGGACAGAGTGCTAAAGACAAGCGAGTCCCATCCTACACAGACTCACCTCCCGTTGGCCAGTCCTGGAGCAGCATCGATGGGGGCCACTGGGAGGTTTGCACCCCAGACTGGCCTGCCCGCCCAGCTGAAGATGGAAGGGTGGTGGCCGGAGGCAACAGTAAGGGACCTGGAGAGGGGAACAGAACCGAGAGAAAGGTTAAACCTCACAATTGACAAAAGTCCATCCTCTGAAAACAGGGGAGATTTTACTAATTAATCTCAAGAATGGGGTGTTATGAGCTCAGCATTGTCAAACCTGTTGGCACCAACACAGCAACATACCGGGAAACTGGTAGGTGTAACCGGGAGCGAGTCCTGTGTAACCACGACTTGCATATGAAGCAGCCTGGAAGCCTGGGTACCCTGCAAGAGAAATGACAAATTCACAAGACCACCATTGAAACGTGTTCTCACAAACAAGCTGCAGAATCAGTCTGAATGACCAACCTGCTGCACAAAGCATGGTCAAGAAAGACCAATATCAGGAGAGGCCAGAAGTGATTATCATTCCACTGTCAGCCAATCCTTGCATGTGCTCTGCTCCCCCCCACCTCACCACCATCCCACCCCCCAACACAAAATAGGGCCAGGAAGCAGCTGGGTAACAGGGTGAAAGAACCCTCCAGTCCAACGCAGTGACCTGGGAAGGAGGAGCCACAGGATTTACAATCCATGTTAGGGCCTAATACTCAGAGTCCTCATCTCCAGTACCACAGATTGCAAGACTGTTACTGTTGCTGGGAAGAGCCGGGTTTATAGGGACTCTGGCCTGGCTTTCTCTCAATAAACCCCAGGCAGCACCTTGACCTTGAAATTAGCTAGAGGTCAGAGAAAGTTGGTGGGGTAGTACTAAGCAAAGGGAAGAGGTTGAGCACATGTGGGGGAAAACAGGAAGAGGGACCCTCGGTATGCCAGGAGGAAGGTAACAGGGATTCAGCCCGGGGTGGTGGGGTTTGAGGGCTGAGAAGAAATCGCCTGATGTGCAAGTGCCCCTCTGGGGAGGGGCAAGCGTAGAGCAAGGGTCCCCTCAAACCGACGTAAGGAGAGGACAGAGTGGTCCTGGCCATGTGTGGGGAGGGGAGAGGGTGTACAAGGGGACAGAGGGACCTGCAAAGAGATTCTAGCATCCAGTGAATGCTCCAATTCACTGTGTGATCAACAGCAATATCACTCCTACCTAGCATGCCAATGCCCAACATGAAGGCATCCATCCCATAGGGCATCACTCGAGAACGACCTCTGGCGGTCCCTGTTGGTGACATCACCTCCTTGGGCTGGGCCTTCTTACACTCCACCTACAGCATATCAAACAGTGCTGTTAGCTCTATTTTACAGTGACTAGATACTGCCATTCTCTCACACACACAATTGCGCAGGAAGTACACAGCATAGGAACAAGAAGAAATAAGAACACTGACTGGAGCTTTCAAGAGAGTAATGGCCAAACAGTAACTCTTGGCATTGGCATCTGAATGGGCCAGTAAAGAGATGAAGCAGGTAAACTACAGCTGGACTCTGCTCCCAGGTTAGGACTCTGATAACCATTAGCCAGAATTCTCAGACCTGATCACTGTCCATCAAATGATGCCGGAAAAAAGACATGTTAGCATGAGGAGAGGGTGATTTACTGCCTCTCCCTCAAACAAATGTTTACTGCCCAAATCAACAGACTGACAACATGGTCTCCTGTGCCATGTCCTGGAACAGTCTCCAGGCATAAATGGACAGTGAGCTAGAGGTAAGCAAAGCAACTCACTGGGTCTCTTAATCCCACATGAAATCCTCTAACATGTATTGCAAGGCCCAGGAATGATTTGTTTTTTTGCAATTTTTCTCAACATTTGAATTGTCAAAACTTTGGAGTGTTAGCCCAGAAACGGACTCCTAAAACAGAGCCAGAAAACATCCTACTATGGTGAGGCCAAGGAATACTGTTGGCAGTTGGGAGGGAATGACTCTCCGGAATATAAATATTTGTCAAAAATTGCACTCAGGTTTGCTTCAAAACCACACAAACTCCTCCACCCCGTGCACATTGCCACAGGCAACTTCTGCCCAGCTCACCACCAAATATGGCCTGTCTGCCCAGGCCAATCATCACATGGACGCTCCCCACCTCAGACTGTCTCATACAGTCCCTGTGCAACATTGTAACACACGGAGCAAGTGACCTCCCATTCCCACACTCACCATTTTGTTGTTGATTTCATGGAAGTGAATCTCACACACTTTCTCCACAATATCTTCACTCTCAAATGTCACAAACCCAAAGCCTGAAACAGAATCAAAGGGTTTGGAGGCTTTAACAACAGTGAACCCTCTTCTCAGTGACCCGCTGGTCAGGCTCCATTACTCAAACACTTGCCATTTGCCAGAGGAACAGAAATGGAGATGTTACTGTTCACAATAACAAACTAATTAAAATGGCATTAATATTTAGATATTGTACCCTCTGGTGCCTTACCCAGCCAATTATGTACAGCTGGCTTTTCAATTTGATCATATCGTACCCAGTTGTTGGGGACGGTTTTAAAACTCACCAAGATTCTCTTGGCAGTACCTTCCACACTGACACCCTCTACTGTCTAGGACAAGGGCAGCAGATACCTGGGATCACCTCCAACTTAAGTTCTCCTCCAAGCCACACACTATCCTGACTTTGGAACTATATCATGATCACTGACGCGGAGTCAACATCCTGGATACTCCCCCCACTTTAATAGCACTATAGGGGTTCCTACACCCCAAGAGTTTCAGTGATCCGAGAAGACTGCTCACCAGCAGATTGTCAAGGTCATTCGGGATGGGCCAGTAAATGCTGGCTTAGCCAGCGACACCGATATCCTGTGAAAGAATATGAACAGATAAATGCTGGGACAGGAAGGCACGAGGTTTAAGCATCCAGCTCTTGCTGAATTAACTGAACTAAGGAAATACAAGTCTGATCTCGTAAATATACAAGATCAGGGAGTAAAGGCATTTTTTTTTTTTTTCAAAAGATTAAAGGATTCAATCAGAAACTATTTCCTCTGCTGGGGAGACCAGACCAAGCAGTCATGATATTAAAAATCAAGATAGATCTTCCAGGAGGTGATGTCACGAAGCAATTATGTAAGAAATGCTGCAATTCTCATCCCTTGAGAAATTGACGATGATTGGTCAACTGAAAATTTTAAAATTGTGATTGATGGGTTTTTTTTATGCAAGTGTATGAAAGCAGCAGGCACCAAGACAGATCAGCCATTATCTAACTGGAAGGGTTGTACAGGTTTGACGGGCTGACTGGCCTTCTCCAGCTCCTATACTTCTAGACCAGTATGGGACCTCCAAGTGGTCTTAGAGACTCCATGCAAGGAAGTGAAACTTATTGGGGCCACGGATACAGATAGTCACTAATTAACCCACCAGGGAACTCAGGAGAACCTCTTTATCCAGTGACTCATTAGCGAGGAGCTTGTTGTCACACGGTGTAGTTAAGGTGAATAGTGTCCACGCGTTTAAGGGAAAGCTGGATGCATTTGAGAAAGAGAAAGGAGTAGAATGATATGAAATTGTGAAGGTGTGAGCAGTGTAAATGCCTGCACTGACCAAATGGGACACTGTGTAACATTAAGGGATAGAATCCTTCCCTCTACTGGATCTTTCTCACCTCGTACACATGGTACAAAACCAACCCTCGCAGGGGAACCAACAACCATTCCAGACACCCCGAATCGAGGGCTGGGAAACTGCCCACACAGACATGGAAACCAGGGGTCAGTGTGTTTTGTGTAAGTAGCCTGCATCCTGGAGGTGATCAGCAGTGAAGCGCAGTCAGTCGGATACCTAGCTAGGGCTACAGTGACAGTGTGATGCTCTTTGCAAGAACAGTGGGAAATAGGACAAGTGAAGGTCTGAATCATTCTGCAAAGCATGGACTGGGCAGCAGGGGGCTCTCGGGGACCGGACAGGCTGATAGATTTCCCAAAGCTCACTTCAGGAGTTGATCAGAACTCCTACAAACTGAAAGATTCCTCACTCACCTCAGCTGATGTTACAGAAAGTATAAAATATTGCTGAGAAGGAGACGGTGTGTCAGGTACACTAGCAAAGCTAAATTTCTCCACATGCTTTCCACCCTGTCCACAACTCTAACCCAACAGGAGACCATGGTTCATGTAGAACAGAATTATAAACTGGTGTTTACAACCAGAATTGTCACTGCTGATCAATGATTAAGGCCTCCACAGAAGGTTTGGGCTCAATTGTAATGTTAAACAACACTGAAGGTCCACCATTTGCTCAAAGACTGAAGGAGTAGATATGGAAAAGATGTTTCCTCTTGTGGGAGAACCTAGCACCAAGGGATCATAATTTAAATGTAAGACATTGCTCATTTAAGACAGAGGAGGGGGAAAAAATTGTGTGTGTCTTTGGAATGCCCTTCTTCAAAAGGCAAAGGTAGATAGATTTTAGATTACCAAGGGGATGAAGATTATCGGGGATATGCAGAGTAGAGTGGAGGTACAATCAGATCAGCCATGGTTTTACCAAAGAGCTGAGTGGCCAACTCTTGTTACTTGTTCGTATGTTCATAAATCATTGAGCGCGTACAGCTGTAAACCTAGCAAGTTATAAACAAATAAATGCTTCAGTAGGTTCAGGTGTCTGAGGCAGGAGGAGAAGGTGACAGGATCATAGTGAGATCTGCTGATATGTTTGAATACCGAACTCTAATACACCCAAGTCTTTAATTATATTCTGTGTGCTTTCTGAAGATCTGCACAGCTTGATCGACTCAAAGGGAGACAGAATCAGCAGTAATGGAATGCTCAGTTGTCAGCTCTCCCCTCCAAGACACACATACACATCTAGTTCAGGCAAACTTATATCACATACCAAGGCAGACTTTAAACCCTGTCAGACCCTAGCACAGTGGTCATCTTACTGGACTACTTATAGTCTTTGACGAATGCTCTAGAAAGAGGAATTCAAATGGCACCTGGCAGAATTCCAATACAATTAATTAACAAACCTGGAATAAACACTGGTCTTGTTAATGATTATGAAATGAGTGGATTTTAAAAGCCTGCAAATGTTCTGACATCCTTCCTTGGTTTGACCTACATACAACTCCAGACCCAAAGCCATGTGGCTGACCCGAAACTGGCCTGGCCATCATATCAAAGCATTACAGAAAGTAGAAGTGTGTGTATCTTACACCACATGGACTGAAGTGGTTCAGGAAAGTCATCACCATCTTTTCAAGGACAATTAGGGATGGGTAATAAATACTGGGCCCAGTTGGCGTCTCTCATAATCCATGAATTAATATAAAAATAACCCCCAAAATACTTGGATAGCAAATGCGCAGCCTGAATTCCCCAATAGCCTGAGAAGGGTAGCAAAAGTTTCCTAAAGTCCACTTCAGGCAGACTGGATACACTTTGAAGCTGTGTAAAGTGGCAATGGTGAAGTGTTGGGACACAGTCGACAGCGTCTACCATTGAGCAGTAATTGGAATCGTGCTCTCACATCTGCTCAATCTCTGCCATCAATAATTCATCTACAACTCTGTTCACATGAATAATGCAAACTGCTGCAGGTTGGACCCCTTTGTCCAAACCATTCCCCAAGTGTTAAACAACGACCATCAGTGCTCTATTTGCCACTTCTTTCCTGCACCAAACATATGCCGTCTCACAGGATTCACAGAGCTTGAAGTCTATTGACTCCCAGGGCCACACGGTCCGGTCGATCCTCTGAGGCTACACTCCTACCATTTCATTTGCTTTTCCTTGCAATTTCCTGTAACACGAAGAATTGGTCTGTTCACCATCAGTGCAGCACAGAACCTGGAGAATTTTCACTAACTACACTAAATGGACAGCATCAGTTCACCATCACCTTCTCAAGGGCAACTAGGGATGAGCAACAGTGCTGGCCCAGCCAGGGACACCCATTTCCCATGAACAAATAAAAATAACTATGCTTTGGTACATGGGGTTGCAATGTTCAACTCTTGACAAGGGATCGCAGGCAGAAAAGACTAGGCTTGGAAGTGGATACAATGCACATTCACCACAATGATGCTGGGTTAAATTATGAGATCAGGTCACACAGACTAGATCTGCATTCCTGCAAGTTTAGAAGATTGATCTAATTGAGGTGTTTAAAGAGATAAAATATTTTTATTTCATTCACTCTCAGGTGTGGTCAGGCTAGCAGTTATTGTTCATTCCTAATTGCCTTTGAGAGGATTACACAGAGCCATTTCCTTAAACCACTGCAGTTATTAGTTGCCTTGAGGTGTGATAAACAGGCTGGCTCGCAAAGTCATTTCAAGTGGAGGTTAACAGTCAACCACATTGCTGTGGGTTTGGCCAGACAAGGTAAAAATGGCAGATCTCTTTTCCTGAAAGATGCAAGCAAAGTTGATGGGTTTTCTGCAATAATTCAGTAGCTATGTGACCACCAGGAAGCAAATATTAATTCTCTAGCTGGAAGGGTGAGATCAAAGCTCATGTCTCAGTCATCAGACCAGGCCCCTCAGGTTTACCAGTCCAGTAACATAATCGTTATGCTATCACATTATGTATCATCTTTTGGTAGAATTTAACAATTTCTTCTAATGGGGAAATCTATAACAAAGAAACATTAGAAATAGGCCATTCAGGAAGCACTTCATGAAGATTTTTGGAAATTTGAAAATCTCTTTTCCCAAAGGGCTGCAGTTGCCAATCGACAAATGGAGATTTTGAGACAGAGATCAATGGAATTTACATTACACAAGGAGCATCGAGGAATATGGAGTAACTCCAACAGCGGCAAAATGGAATAGCAGCACAGGCTCATGGGACTGAATGGTCTACTCCTGGTCCTATGTTGCAGGACTGTTTCTGGCAGCGTCAATGAGAATAATGGTGCTGGTGCCATGTAACTCTTCTCAGTGGCTGGTTAGTTGGCCGATCCACACAATGCACATGTTAGCAGCAGAGATCACCACCTCTAGTAGTCACCTCTACCAACACTAACCTGATAATCGCTTGTTTAAATGGGTCACTTCAACATCTCATTATCCACTAAGTGGCAAAGCCCAGGTACCAACAAAACTGAAAACCTTTAAACCATCCTATAACTACCTCTCTATGATCAGAGGTGAGCAATACTGAACCGCAGTTACACTGTCTCCAAACACCAAACTAAGTGTGCCAGTTCCACTGGAAACCCTGTAACTTGTTTTACGCACAGTGTGTTTTTGTCCTTGGATCTCAGGAGAATGTTTTATTTTTAA